ATATGCCGGCGCAGGGGGGGCTCACCCGAAGCCGATAAACCAAAAAAATTGGCGGCAGCCTGCGCTGGGCTGGAGGGGAGATGTTAAATTGCCTTAAGGTCCCCGTTTCTGTCGTCACCGGGACTCCAGAGCAGGGTACCCGGCCACCGCGTATTTGGGCAGGAGCTGGAGAGCTGCGGCAGCTTGGTCCGATAGCGCTAATCGTGGCCGGAGAGGGAAGGCGGCGTGCCCCTGCCTGGCTCCTGCCCGCTGGCCTCAGCGTTATTTGCTGGTAAAAAGGAGGAAAAAAAAAAAAAAAAAAAAAAAGAAGAAAAAAATTAATACTGGAAGATAACGGTGGCTGCTTGCTGCTGTTCTGCACCCTTTCTCCCCCTCCTTCGAGTGCCTCGATCCCAGTCGGAAGCGCTACACTGAATAATACAAAACTCTCTTACGATGTCTTGTAGCTCCGTATCGCAGATGTGCTATAGTGCAATAAATTGAATGCTGTCTGCTAAAGAGACATAATTTATATAAAATAAACTTCATAATTTGTTCTCCGTGTATAAATAACTTGCTGCTAGCCAGGATGTGTTTCCTCCTCCTCGGGGGGGAGACGAGCTCCTGCCTGCGTGAGGGGGTTGAGAGGGCGTGTACACCACACACCAGCCGAAAGTTAAGCGAACAGGCCTTTAATATGAGCTTCAACGTACAAAATACCGTGCAGTATAAAGATAGGACTAGAAAACTAGAGCTTCAAGTAAAAAAAAAAAAAACTGCTCAAGTTTCGTTTCTTTTTTAATTGAAAGTACAGAATACAAAAGCACTAAGTATGAAATTAGAGGAGGCTGCGGCTCCTTCGGGGCGACCACGCTCCCCAGGCACGCGCAACCTCGATAAAAAGACAATTACTACGTTAAACCAGGCGTCTGTCTGTCCGAGGAGGCTCCGCTCCGGCCTCTGATTTGCGCCTGAAGTGTCCGGGCTGGGCTCGGTGCGCGTGGGTGGCAGCTGGATGGCGGTGGGCTTCCCTCCTCCCCTAGACTGGCCTTAAACCGCCTGCGCAGGCCTCCCCGGGAGCTGCTGGCTCCGGCTTAGGCCCGTCCTAGGGAGTCCCCCGCCGCCGCACGGGTCCCAACGCTCAAGTGCTGCATCCTGCGGGAAAGTCAAGGCTCTGCCAAACCCGCTGGCGAGGCGCAAAGGGAAGGGCGAAGCCTCTCTCGGCTCAGGACAGCCTCACCTTTCGTCTCGGCGTGGGCAGCAGCGGAGCCGTTGAGCTGTTGTCCCTCCTTAGGCGCGCCTAGGAGAGAGCGGAGAGCGAGGGCCGGGTGGGGAGGCGAGCCCCGCGGCACCGCGCAGGCGGTGGGCTTCGCGCCAACGGCCGAGGCTCTAAGCGACGCGGGCAGCGCGCTGCCGGCCGCGCACGTGCAGCAGTTTCACGCGACAAGCTTTTCTAACTGGGTTTTACCCTCAGAACGCGAGCCAGCGAGGCTCTGCCTAGCAAACTCCCTTCTTTTCCTCATTTTCACGATTTATTAGCAAGATCTCTTGTATGTTAAAGCATGAGCTCAGTCTGAGTAGCGTGAAGGTCAGCGAGACCAAACAGCAAGACCGAAACGCCCTTTCCTTTCACTACAAAGGGAATAAACAACGGCAGCTGTGCAAAATAAAGTGGGAAGCAGCAGAGCTGTTTAAACTGTAAGAACATACGGTGATTTCATAAAAGTAAGCCCCAAATTCAGCTACACCTGCACTTTTTTGGGGAAAAAAAAAAAGCTTAAGGAATGATATAGCACAAAGAGGGGCTATTAACACTGCCTGCGCTCCAAAGCCCACGGTGACAGTCGAGAACCGCGTTGCGTACGACAGGATCCCCGCGTTAAGCGCGGGGACGGCGGACGCACGCAGAACCGTCCTGCGCGGCCCGCAAGCTCTGTACCTGTTCGACCCCGCGTGGCGATCTCACTCGTCAGCCTCTCAAAGTACTCGGGCAAGTCTGCGTATTCATCTCCGTAGGAAATCACTTTAATCCCTTTGTCCAGCATGTTCTCACGGAGCTTCTTGAACTCATCCACGTCTCCCCTTCGCACGAGCATGAAGTGCTCCAGGTCTGACTTGTGCTTCACAGCCTCTAAAAACAGGGCCTGAAACGTGGTGTCATCAACAGTCCAACCACAGCCCAAGAACAGGAATGACTTATTTTCATACAGCTTCTGAATCTCTCGCTTTAAAAAAGGGAAAGACGAGTCAAGGCGAGTCTTATCTTCGCAAGGCACAAGAGACAGCATCTGCCTTATCGCTGATGAGACTCTTGAGGAGCGTCATCATTCAGCCACCCTCAACGCGAACGCGGCGAGGTGTTTGTGCAGGTTAGCGGGCCAGAGAATCCATCCCTCCTCTCCTGTTTCGCAAAATTAAGGACTCTCCCACCACCCCGCGGGAAGCCCAGCCTTTAAACTCGGCTGAGTTAACACAGGGGCCTGCCAGGAGCTGGCGTGGGAAGTGGGGGATGTATAGAGACAACGTACGGGACCCCAACTTATGCCCCGCAGGGCTGCCTCACCATGACCTCCGTGTTGCGCAGCACGTTCTGGTACCCGGCGGGGTGGAGCACTATGCCGCTGGGGTTGGTGTAAACGCCGTGGATGTGCAGGACGCTCAGCTTCCTCTTCTCTTGCGCCCACTCCAGCACCTGCGCAAAACAAACCCCTCCAGAAACGTTAGCGAGCGCGTCAGGTTAGCTCCCACGGCGCTGTTAAAAACACCGCGTTGGGGAAGCGTTTCAGAGAGGCAGCTTCTTCCTCGTGTTCCATCTTATCTCCTCAAGAGGTCAAGAGTCCATCGCGGCCCGCAGCTACGGCCTACGGCGCTTGTTTGCGTCAACACTTCAGCTGAACGGCGAATGCGATGGGAAGAGAGCGAATCGATACACCGGACTCGGCAGAAAAAGGGGGAAAACTCTGTAAATATTAGGTCAGCGTGTTTCTTGAGCCTATAAAGTTTATTTCTTGGCCTCTCTAGGCTCTGAGAAGCTCTGAGGGAGCTCAAGAGCTGACCTTCATTTCAGCAAGCCACTTCCGAGGCTCTCGGTTTACTCCTGCAGACCTCAGGTTGTTTAAGCTTGCAATAATTAGAACGCTTATTTGTAACACTGTAAGTACCTCCAGCCATGCAGATTAAGAGGTCATGCAGGAAACATGAAGCGCAGAAATGACTCCGAACGGAAAGAGACCGAGCGCTGCACGTGTGGCGTGCGTTTAACGAGCCAACAGAAGGACAAGATGCTCCCCACCAGGGTGGAAAGATGAGGTGGGCAGGTGGCGAAGAGCTCAGGGTTTCACAGTCTGATTTTCTGCCTGATTGGGGGCAGAAGGAGGGAAGCTTGCGTGAAGCGAGCAGCTACGAATCCCAGAGCACGGCAGAAGAAGCCGGAGCAGGCGGAGTGTCCCAGCAGGAGCCATCCGGCCATTTCAGAAAGAGGACGCGGGGCAAGAGGGAAGCCTCGAAGGCTACAGCCCCGAGAACGCTCTGTCGCAAAAAGCACTCCGCAGCACGTTATAAAAATAGAAAGGTCAGCTTTGGGTCTCGCACGGCGTTTCCCGTGTCGGTTACAAACGTCAACCCAAGCCTTACGTGGAAGCGAGGCTTGCGGTACTTCAGCAAGGCCAAGCTGGAGGTTTCAAGGACAGAGATCAAAGAAATGCTAGGCTTAAGGGCTCCTCCTGAGCAACGGATGTCAGCCAGCAAGCACAGCATTTCAGAAACGAGCGTTCGACTTCATTCCTCTGCTCGCTGCCCCAAAATGCTCACAGCCTCTGCTTGGAGTTTGTCTAACATCATTTAAATTACTACGAGCAGTACAATCCCCATACGCGGGCGGGCGGGAT